AAAGGGCTCCTTTTATCTTTATAGGTTAGATGTAGCCCAAGACTCTGAACTGGCAGCAGAAAGCCTCAAAATCCTGTTTTCATGAATTGAGTTAGTGCCTGTTGAAGATTCTTGTTTATGACATTTGTTTGTGTGAACCAAAATTATTTTGGTTTTGTTTTTTCTTTCAAATAATACTTTTTAAAGGACACTGAGAAATACTGAAATACTTCTACGGCATGAATACTCTTTAGGTATCATTGCTTGCACTTACAAAGCCTTTTTAAAGTCAGCTGCTGTCTTCAGGACCAGATTCTCAGACTACTTTGCCAGGGAATCTGTGAGCAAAGCACAAGGACTAGCAGATACTGCCTCTCCAAAAATGGGATGTTCATCTCTGGAGGAGGTAGGCAGCCAATGGTAGGAAATGGTGATAGGAGAAATGTAGATCCTGCTGTGTTGAGTTGCCTTTTCAGACAATTTTATGTAGCCACCGAATGCAGTGAGTGCTCTTCTAGAATGGTAATCATGCTCTTTTTAAAATTATTTTTACGTTTTGTCATTAATCACTGTAATTACAAATACAAATACGATGCTCAAAATCAGATCTATTCTGCTGATGATACACAACCTTGAATGAAATCTAAATCTCATTCTTTGACTAAGCTCTGCCATGACTACAGGAAAGTATAGAACTAAAAATGGATTTCTTTTGATAAACAAAGTAATTTCATTTGATTCTGAAAGTACATAAGACCAGGATGCTGCATTACAATGTATTGTTTTCTGCATATTCACTTTTATATTCATAGTACTTCCATAGTATTTTGAATTTCAGTGATGAATTTATCGTGGTATTGATATTTAAGTGAACATTTCTGGTATACAAGCAGAGAAAATAAGTCCAAGAAGTGAGTCCCTGGGCTGCTCCATTCCCACACAGAATTATAGAATCATATTATCATAGAATCATAGAATGGTTTGTGTTGGAGGAGACCTTAAAGGCCATCTAGTTCAAACCTCCCTGCCAAGGGCAGGGACACCTTGCACCAGGCCAGGTTGCTCAGAGCCCCCTCAACCCTGATCTTGAACACTTGCAGAGATGAGGCATCAACATATTCCCTTGGCACCCTGTTGCAGTGTTTCACCACCCTAACAGCAAGGATTTTCTTCCCAATATCTAATCTCAAACTTCTCTCAGTTTGAAGCCATCATAAAGATATATGAAGACCCCATCTATACAGGCCCTTGTAAAAAGTCCCTCTTCAGTTTTCCTGTAGGCTCCCTGCAGGTATTAGGCTTCTAAAAGCTCTCTCTGAAGCCTTTTCTTCTCCAGGCTGATCAACCCCAATTCTCTCAGCCTGTCTTCACAGGGGAGGAGTTCCATCCCTCTGATCATCTTGGTGGCCCACCTCTAGACTTGCTTAAAAAGGCCCAGGTTCTTATGCTGGGAACCCCAGAGCTGCACACAGTTCTCTGAGAGCAGGGCAGAGAGGCTGAATCCCCTCCCTTGCCCTGCTGGCCACTCTGCTTTTGATGCAGCCCAGGTTACAGCTGGCTTCCCGGGCTGCAAGCACACAGTACCAGGTCACATCAAGCTTCTCATCTTCACCCCCAAATCCTGTTCTCAATCTATTCTCTACCCAGCCTGTGTTAGTGCTTGGGATTGCCCAGACCCAGGCACAGGACCTTGAACTTGGCCTCGTTGAACTTCATAAGGTTCACACAGGTTCACTTCTCTCTAGATGGCATCCCTTGCCTCCAGTGTCCACAAACCTGCTGAGGGTTCACTCAATGCCACTGTCTGTGCTGCCAAGAGAGATGTTAAACTGCATCAGCACCAATACTGATCCCCAAGGAATGCCGCTCATCAGTGGTCTTCACTAGAAAATCTACCCATTTAATACATTTTTGAGTGCGACCATGAGCCGTTTCTTTATCCACCAGGTGCCAATTCATCAAATCCATGCCTCTCCAGAAGCAATGTGAATGTCTGTGTCCCTTGCAAAGTTGTCTGGTACATATTCATGTACAAGTGCAGTAGCTAATTTGACAGCATAAGGAGTGATATGTTTCTGCGTTCCTTGGGGTGGAATCATTAGCACAGGTAAATCTCTGTGCTGCTGACAGCAAATTTATTTGACACAGAGTTTATGATCTAGTAGATGTAAATGTCTGCTGTGAAACCAATGATGGATGAAGGAAGAGAACAGCTTATCTCACAAGATTTCCAGTTGGGATAGAAATAATCTATCTTGCGAAATGCTGACAAGTTCGCTTCTAATCTTAGTTAGAAAATTGAGGCTGGAAGAGATAGTGCTGAAAAAATAATGGGGTGAAAATCTGTTCTAACTTTTCAAAGCATTTCCTACATCCATTCCTAACTTGCTACAAAGTGCTTTGGGAGTTGCAGAGCTATTCAATCACTTTCATATTAACAGAAAGGTCCCATGTGCACAGCTTTTCTATGAACTATTTCCTGTGCCAAAGAGAATTTTGGGTTATTACTATCTGTATAAAGTAGTTCACTGTTTAGAGATTTATTTAAATATGAGGGAATATCAACTGATTCTGAACAGCTTTGCTACTGTGCCTCTTACAGTGTCACCTTTCTGACATTTTTGATTGAAATAAAGAGAACAAGCATAACTAGCACATAACTAGCAGCCTCAGCCTTCTACACTATTCACCTTTTTTAGAAGTGGGTGTTGTAGAGCTGCAAATGTAGGTCTATAAGAACAGACATCAGGATAGTATTGATCTGTCCCAGAAGGATGTGAAAAGGTTTTTAAAACCTGTAACTAAGGGTTTAAGGAGAAGAAAGTCTAAGATGTAGTAGCAGATGAGAGATGAAAAATATGTGAAGATTATGGTATTGTGAAGAGGATACCACAGACTCAGGAATTTCCCAAGAGCAGGTTATAATTCTACCTTTTTTTTCCCTTAAAATCTGTCCTACTTGTAGTAGGAGATGGTGAAACCCAACACAGTCAATGACCTTAAACTGACATATATAAAAATAGTATGAAAATGTTTAATTATTGCAAAGGTCACAGGATAAAAAATTTGTTCCAATTCTGCTGTTTCCAGGAGGCAATGGAAATGCAACAGAGCCATCAAAATTCCTCAGTGGCTTTCAGAAATGTTTGATGCTTACTTTTTTGATTCAGCATTGTAGAATTTATATATCTTGAAATGAGGGCATCATAGCTGAACTTATAACAAAAATAGAAGATAAAAACAATATATATTTAATAAAGCACTTGCTAAAATTAAGGGAAAGAAAGCATTTCAAGGAGGCATGAAAACTGTCTTCAAATGTTCCTCCAATTTCAGAGAGTTAGATGAAACAAGAAAATTATTATTTTATGAAAAATTATGATTTAATAGCTCCTACAGAAGAATCTGCTTCTGTCAGATGTAATACCAAAATACTTTATATAAGGAAAATGTTTCTTAAGCATTTTATATTATACAGTTCTACATAGAAACTTTTTATATCAAGTCCTTTTAGGTATAATTTTAAATAAATGTTGACTGAGCTCAAAATATCAAAAATAAGTGTAAAATCTTTTTAATATTTTTAAAATTATTTTAAGTATTTGAAGTTTGACATTTCCATTAGCAAAATATTTTCTGTCAAAAAGTCTAAGGGATGTACATTTTCAATAATCCTGATTTTTAAAAAAGGGTCAGATGGTGAGTTTTTTATTAATTTTGTGTGAAATAAAGTATCCAGTCAGTAAATCTCAGGCTGTTACTGCATCTTTTAGGGTCAAGAATAATAAATAAAAATGTTTGAGCTTTTAGCATCACTGCACTGGACAGTGTTTGTTCCTACTCCTACACTTTATCTTTCTACTTCTCTCTCCACTATACTCAATTTCAGGTTAAAATAGACTTTACTGAGAACATGTGTTTTCTTGAAAATCTCGACCATCATGTGATTTCACATTTAATGGGATATAATGTTCTGTCACAGCACTTTTAGACTGAAATAATTCTGATTATTTTGTTGACTCTTATTCTTTTTTTTTATATATTACTGAAGCTGAGAAGAGATTTAGCTGCAGCATCCCTCAATTTGCATTAAATTTGTTTCCTAAACAGAAGTTTTACTTTATCCATGTGATTTGCTGTAATGTCGACTTTGCAACATTCAATCAGAATGGAGGAGCTTTTTAACATAGATTTGTTTTTGTACAGAGAGATTCCTAAGCTCCAGAAGTCTGGTCTGTACTTCTTTCTCCATGCATAACTGTTCTAGCAACCATAATGAGAGACATCTATCTCCTGGTATGTTTTTGAGTATGATTCAAATGAAGAGACAAATTTGAGAACAAGACTAATGTCTATAGCAGCTATATATCTATATCAAGCTTATATCTATATAAGCTTGACTTTCTTTTAGATTTCGAGCGTGAATTTGCAGGTAGAATATAAGTGAACTTTCAGTGTTCACAAGATTTCTGATTTTATTGAGAAGAGTAAGTGTCTGCTTAAGAGAAAACATTTGCAAACCCAGATTTTCTCATTCTCCAAGGAGTGATGCATTTGGGGTGGGAAATAAATACTCTTGTTTTTGGAGAGCTACTTTCTGAGTGGATGATGAAGTAGCAGTTAAAGATCAGTGTGCATTCCTTTAGATCATAAAGGGGAACTCTTCAGAAAAATTGCAGTCCTCCTCAACAGAATTTGATTTCACCATCACCATCTAAGAATCCATTCAAATCTTCCATATTATCAATACATTACTGGCATCATCAAGTAGAAAACTGTGTGTTTAAAAAATGTCATTTCTCTCTGTTAGCAATAACTGATATTTTGCCTAAAATCCTCATGCATTGCAGTAAAAAAAATTCAGAAAGTTTTACAACATCAATTCAGAAGAGGTAAAACTTAGACAGGTGTTTTAGGAATGCTGTCTATTTTCACTGCCTGTTACTCATTTTCAGTGACTTGAAGGTGCCTTTGCAAACTTCCAGATATTTGACTTACTGATATCAAATGTTTGCTTTCAGATATCAACATGGCAGGAGAACCAAAACCATACAGACCAAAACCTGGCAACAAACGGCCACTTTCAGCACTTTACAGGTAAGTGAGATTTCACTTTAACTTACCCTAATACAATTTTTATCAGAAAAATTATGATAACATAAAATTTATCTACCAATGGCACTGTGCAACGCTTGCCAAAATTATAATGAAATCGAAGTACTTGTTAATGCTCCCACTCCTAGTATTACTATCAAGTTGTTTCTTTTTCTTAATTGAGTGCTATTTCAACTTTTAGTTCTCACGATTCAGTGCTTAGCTGTGGCCTAATTTTTTGTGACTTTTTTATTTGCAATGATCAATGAAATAACTAATAATTTCAGAGCAATAAAATTAGTTTCTCTTGGATTTTTCTGTCGGGGTGAGAACCAAGTTCTGACAAAACTGGACTTCTTCCTTGGCTGTTCAGGAAGGTATTGATAGTGTCTTTCTCCTATTCCCAGGTTCCTTTTGTCATACAGCTTTACAAACTTGAGGAAATATCCACTATTTTTTGAAATCAATTATATTTAGTGAAGCATTACACATTGTTAGGACTACCATACCATCATGTTTTTCTACTCAATAAACCTCACTACTCATAAAAGTACTACAGAATTTATGCTCCAGATTCATGGAAGGACTTAGGGCTGATTGCTGCCGTAGCTGAAATACAGGTAGACTGGCTCTGAGAACAACACCTTAGGAGTGAAATCAGACACACTTGAGCAATACTTTTTCATGCCTTGTCTGGTCTGAAAGCTTCAGATGGAAATTTAAGTGTGGGATCTCAGAATCAGACAACCAGAAGCATTTTAGGTCTGAGCCCATGCTACATAGAAGAAATTTGAAGTTTTATCATATAGCAGCTCTTAGCTGAAGTGATAGAAATATTATTTTTGGAGAAGAGAATCCCTGTTTCATCATTACTCTCAACTGCAAGCTACTGAACTCTGTAGGTGTTCCTGGTAACTTTGGTCTACTCTGTCCCTGTGCCAGTATTTCAAAAGATTTTGAAAGATGTTCTGTGATTTCTGGCATTTATATACATTGCCACCTTTGAGCTTTTGAAGGCTTTCTCATAAATACATGTTCAACAGAAAAGATAGGGATAAGAGAAACCTGTGGAAAGTTCTAAAGGAATTTTAAAGAGGAAAAATATATTAGATTGTGTCTTTTCATGGATGTTGAGAAAAGTATTTCTCTAGAAGATCATGAGGCTTTTATGAGCAGCTAAGAGAATCCTCCTATTTCTCCCTTCATCTTAATTCTCCCTCTCTGCTCTGACCTTGTAAGACTCCACCTGGAGTACTGTGTCCTGCTCTGGAGTACTAAGCACAAGAAAGGACTTACAGGGGGTTTATAAAATAGAACAACTTTTAACATGGACAGATGATGATGGGATAAAGGTGAACAGTTTTCAACTTTAAAAGGAGGGATTTAGATCAGATGCTAGGCAAAAATTCTACACTCAGAGTAGTGAGGCACTGGAACAGATTGTCCAGGGTAGTTTTGGGTGTCCCATTGTAAATATTCAGGGTCAGGTTGGATGGGGTCCTGAGCAGTCTTATCTGGTGGATGACATTCCTGCCCATGGTGCAGTGGTTGCAACTAGATGACTTTTAAGGTTCCTTCCAACCCACTCTACTGTTCTATGGTATGGTCCTAAATTATTCTCTGATTGTATGATAGCAAGGAACTTTTATTTTCTCAGTATCGCTTAACCTAATATGTGAGAAGATCAATGGCTCATAAAGTTTTGGCAACACTGAGAACATCTACTTATTTCAGAACACTGTCACTGGGCCTGACTGGGATGGAGTTAACTTTCTTCATAGGATTCTATATGTGTTTTGGATTTGTTACTAAAACACACCAATGTTTTGGCTGTTGCTGAACAGTGTTTGCACAGCCTCATGGTTTTCTCATTTTCCTATTCTGCCTTCATAATTAATAGCCTTGGTGTGGCCAAGAAGTTATGGAGAAATATATTTGAGACAGCTGACCCAACCTGTCCAGAGAGATATTCTCTTATGTAATCATATATAAAAATTGGGAAGGTTCTTCTTCCAAAGCAGTTGTTGCTTGGATATTGCCTGGACTGCTTATGGGAGGTGGAAAGTAATTGCCTTTGCATCACATGGAATTTTTTTTTCCCTTCTCCCTTCCCCTATTACACTGCAAATATCTCAATCCATGAGGTTTTTTTAACTTTTCATCTCTCCTTCATCTGGATAGGGGCCAATGGTAGGGGAGTGAGGCAGTGACTATGTGGGTGCTTAGCTGCCAGCCAGGATCCACCAGCAAGACTGAGACAGTTAACAGGGAATAAGTTATATCAGATTTGATTTGCGCTAAGAGAATAAAAATTTAGTTGTCACTAAATAGTCACTGTTAAAAGGAAGGACTGTAAGTAGAAAGAGGATAATGGATTTCAGAAAGGACAGAATTAAATGAGCTCAGAGATCAGGTAAGTAGAAAGAAATTTGAGGGACAAAAGAAGGGCAGGAAATCTTGCACTAACTGTGCTTAAGGTAGAACAGAAAATTCTCCTGAAGCAGAAAAAATCAAACAAAGGAATAATATGACAGCATCAACTTTCTCTAACATTCTAAAAATTGAAAAGGAATTGTACAAAATGTGGAATCAAAACCCCATGACTGGAAAAGAAAAGAAGAGCAGAGTCTCATACAGGATGTCAGAAAGGCTAAAACACATAACAGATATGAGAGACCCCTATAAAAGGTAGCGAAAAGACTGTCATTAGAGTAACGTACTCTGATTTTTAGTTAGGAGGAAAAGAGAGCAGATAGTAGATCATACAGAAAAACGTCATCAAAAGTGGTTAGCTGGCCAGCTATTAAAAAATCTATTTTTACTAGATGGTATGCAATAAAAAAATTGGCTAACCAATGTTTGACTAAATGAATTTGATGGAAATGAACTGATAATATTCACTGCAGTGTGTTCAAAGGACTAGCTGAATCTGTGTGCGGACCGTTAGTGATTCTTTCCAAAAATTTATGGAGATCTTGTAAGGTAAAGAAACAGTAGGTATGGGAAGGTGTTATACCTATTTTTAAGAAAAAGAGATCCATCAAATTATCTGCTCAGATTAGCTTTGATTCTAAGAAATGTACTAGGACACATTATTAGATATCAATTTATGAAGACCAAGAGGCTTAAAAATTGGATAAAAAATAAGGACCATATTAGGCTGAAGCAATATAATTTCCTTCTTTGACAAGACAGCAAATTTAGTGTAGAAAGAGATGTGCTATATGGTCATTGTCATGGTTTAGTAATGACACTCCCAATTTAGTGCCCTCTGAGACTCTCCCATCCCAAATGAGATTCCGCTAGATCGCTCCCACCCCTTTCCTTCCCCCTTCCTCCTCCAGGGATAGATTGGAGAATTGGAGGCACAAAGGGGTGAAAATTGCAGTTTGAGACAAGAACAATTTACTGGAAACAGCAATGAGATTTTTAAAAAAGGGGGGAACAGTAACAGCAAAAATAATAATAGCAAAAGGTATAAGACAAAAAAAACTATTTACATGGAAAGTCCATGACCAATACCAATCAGCTTTTACACACCACACCACATTCTCTCCCAACTGGAAAAAGAATGCCTTTCTTTCCAGAAACTAGAGAACAAGTCCTTCTCCCCCACCACTGGCCATTATGTAAAATGGTATTCAGCAATATCTGGGTCGTGGCCAGGACCACTCAGCAGAGCCCACAGCAGCCCGCAGCTCCTGGGCTCAAACAATCTGATCCAGTGGGCTCAGCTGGGACCACAAGCACACACCACCTCACCTGGCTACTGTAAAAAAAAATGAGTCTGTCCTGGAAGAAACTAGGACAGTCATTTAAACAAGCTTTGGCACTTTTTAGTTTTCATAAACATGTTCAAGAACATTGCCTAAAAGAAATTCTCTTGAGGTAGACATCCAATTGAAAAGTAGTGATGATGTACAACACAGTATTAACACCTGTTAATTGTGAAATTTAGCATGAACCTGAATTTGAGACACACAACTTTTTTTAGGTGCAAGACAGACAAGTAAATAATAAAAGGACTTCCATTTTTTGTTTAAACCTTAAAAATATTTGGAGAATATTTAGTCTTTGCTTCAGAAAGCTGTTAAACATATTATTAATTTTAAGCATGCTCTTTGAATATCTTAAAATGTACTTAGAGTAGTGCTGAAGAATCAGATAAATTCTAACACAGCTGTAAACTCCATCAGCATCCATCCTAATTTGCATTGCTGTTCAGTATGTGAGGGGGGACCTAAATCCCAGAAGATTTAAAATTGTTCTGAATTTTCTTCACACCACTTCTGCAGAAAATCACACGCTTAAAAAATCTGCATCTTAAAATTGTTTTGCATCTTATATTGGTCTAGCCTCCAGCAAAAATTAATTGTAGTGGCACTTCTTAGTATCTTTGAAACATAAGGTGAAGATTAAAGGTGCTGACACAAACGTGCTCTCTGGGAGCAATGTTTTGGTAAAATAAAACATCACTCTTTGTCTTTTTAATTTAGTGGAGTTTTGATCTGTCTTTCATTAAAGCAACTCTGTGTCACCATACAAAAGCCCATTTACTGCTTTTTTCCTGTGTTTATTCTTCATCTGACCAAAGTAGAATCAACCATAAGTACTCTGATGGGCTGGTATTCTGCTTCCCTACATCATAAAATGTTTTAATTATTTGTTACTCACTTTAGTCCACTACCATGTTACATGGCATATTAAATGCAAGCCTGAAAGCTTTTTCTCCATTTCAGAAGCCTTTGTTTCTGTTATTAAATCTGCATGAGGCTCTCGGATTGCTGACTCTGGAGGCTGTTGGTGTGCAGCCATTCCCAGTTGCTCCAGGAGCAGACCCAAGGCCCAGGACAGGTGGAGCAGAGCCACCTGCCATGCACACATTGCCTGTGGCTGGCTTTCCCTCAGGACATGCAGCATGTCTTTTCTCTATAGCTGTCAGCTTGGGACCTGGTTAAAAGTCATATCTGCCCCCCTCTGGCAGTAACAACGTTGAGAGGGTT